GCTGTCCAGTTTCATTCTTTTGCATGTAGGTCTCTAGGTTTCCAGTGCCATTTATTGAAGAGACTGTCTTTTTTCCTTCATATATTCTTGCCTCCTTTCTCATGTAATTAACGGTATAAGCATGGGTTTTATTTCCGGGCTCTCTATTCTGTTCTGTTGATCTTGATCTATGTGTCTGTTTTTGTGCCAGTACCCATAGTGTTTTGATTACTGTAGCTTTGTAGTATAGTTTGAAATCAGGGAGTGTGATGCCTTTGTTCTTCTTTCTCAAGATTGCTTTGGTATTCAGAGTCTTCTGTGGTTCTACACAAATTTTAGGATTATTCATTCTAGTTCTTTGATAAATATTAATGGTATTTTGATAGGAATTTCATTGAATCTGTAGATTGCTATGGGTAGAGTGGACATTTTAACAGTATTAATTCTTCTAATCAATGAGCAAGATGATACCTTTCTATTCATTTGTGTTGCCTTTCAGTTTCTTTCCTCAGTGTCTTCTAGTTTTCAGAGTATTGGTCTTTTACCTCCTTGGTTAAATTTATTCCTAGGTATTTTTTTCTTTTTGATGCAATTGTAAGTGGGATTGTTTTCTTAATTTCTCTTTCTGCTAGTTCATTGTTAATGTATAGAGATGCAACAGATTTCTGTATATTAATTTTGTATTCTGCAACTTTACTGAATTTATTTGAATAGGTTTTTGGTGGAGTCTTTAGGGTTTTCCATATTTAGTATCATGTCATCCACAAATAGTGACAGTTTATTTCTTAACAATTTGGATGCCTTTGATTTATTTTCCTTGGTTGATTGCTACAGCTAGGATTTCCAGTACTATGTTGGATAAAAGTGACAAGAGTGGGCATCCTTGCCTTGTTCCTGATCTTAGAGGAAAAGCTTTCAGCTTTTCACCATTGACTATGATGCTAGCTGTGTGTTTTTCATATATGGTCTTTATTCTGTTGAGGTGTGTTCCCTCTATACCCACTTTGTTGAGACTTTTTACCATGAATCGATGTTAAATTTTGTCAAATGCTTTTTCTGTTTCTAAAAATAAATTTTTTTTTTTTTTAATTTTTTTTTTCAACGTTTATTTATTTTTGGGACAGAGAGAGACAGAGCACGAACGGGGGAGGGGCAGAGAGAGAGGGAGACACAGAATCGGAAACAGGCTCCAGGCTCCGAGCCATCGGCCCAGAGCCCGACGCGGGGCTCGAACTCACGGACCGCGAGAACGTGACCTGGCTGAAGTCGGACGCTTAACCGACTGCGCCACCCAGGCGCCCCTCTAAAAATAAAATTTTTGATGATAATGACCTACTAGAACTTTCATTTCCGTAAGAGTCAGCCACTAATTTTTGCTAATCCAGTTTTTAAAAGCGATCTAGATAAAAATGTACCAAATACTCAGAGAGGGGCTGGTTCAGAAGGAAAGGCAGAGGTACAAACAGTAATATTATAAGAAGAGGGGAACGTACGCTGCATGACAGAAGCATGGAGGAAAGGAGATGATGGTTGCACCTGGGAGAAATAGTTCACCAACAAGGTGAAATTTGAACTAAATATTTTAGGATAGATACGACTTGGCAGAGGTTGGGGAAAAGGATCCCTGTAAAAGGTAAAGAGTGTGCAAAGTCAGAGGGGTGGCAAAGACCTTGACATGGGTGTGGGCAGTTTGAAATCCAGGAAACCGGAGGGGTTGATAGCAAGGGGGCTGGGCAGGTGGGCAGCAGCTAGAGGGCATAGGCCTAGACTGCTATGTGCAAAGGGTTAGAATAGCCCCATGTAAAACCACTGGATAATTTTGAGCAGCACAGAAATTTCTCTCTCTGCTGTTTGCATTGCAGTTTCCTCTGGTGTCAGTGTGCAGGATAGAATCCATCTGCAAATGACAAGAATCCTGAAGGGGCTGTGTTAGAAGGATATGGGTGCTATCAAGGGTGATCTGAAAGAGGTGCTATGTTATATGGTAAATCTAGATCTTTAGTGTACACATGAGAATGTCTGATGTAATAGCAACTTTTAGAGGCATGTGACATTTCTCCTGGTCAACATCAAGGGAAATGTCTAGGGTTGCCATGTATTGTTGTGCAGGTTGTTCACTGCACAACAGAGCCTGGCTAGGGAGTAGGGGCGACATCTGGACCCACTTCTGCTTGCCAAGCTGTGAACCCTGGCATAGACTCTATTTACCCAGAGGATGTTCTGTTTTCCAAATCACAACAAAAACATATGGCTAATAGCAGCCCCAATAACTCCCTTTTCTAGGCTAGGCACAGAATGAATTTCTTTAGAATAAGCAATGAGATACAGCATACCAAGAGACAGGGACCAGTCAAAGTCCCCATTATTCTCTACCAAAGACAGGAGTGGCAACATTTAACTAGTACCTGCTCAACTCTGCAGAAAAGTGATATTACCTCAAAGGTTTGAGAAGCCCAGGATCTTCAAGCATAGTCTAAGCTCAGTTCTGTGGGCTTAAATAGATAATTGCCTTTAAGGGCCATGATATCCAGCTGTAACCCTGTTATCTTGCTGGAGGCCAACATAGTCTTCAGGTATGCTTAGTATATATCACGTGCAATTGGCAAGCAAAATTTCTAGACACAGAGAGACTTGACTTAGAAAACTGGCAACATTCTATGTTTTTATCCCTTGTGGTGAGATATATGGTTTGGTTTTGGGGGAAATTCATGCGCAAACCTTGCTGTGATTTGGGTGAAAACTAGAATGATAGTTACCATTGTTAAACCCAATGGTTTCCCACAAAAAACAGTAGTTTTTTCATTTCTCAGTAAATTTTGGTTTTGAGCCCAAAAGGAGGATTTGACTAGGTGTCTTCTTGAGTGGGGCCCTGGCAGAGTTTTCTGTCATCTTTGCAAGGAGGTATCTACTTGTCCAGGGCTTGATGCAAATGGTAATTTAAGATTATTTTGTTTCTCGAGGATGCGATGAGGGTTACTGGATACCCCTTGAGCAGAGGTCAGCAGGCTATAGGTTTGTGGATCAAATCGGGCCTGTGAACTAGGAAGGACTTTTATATTTTTAAGTAGTTGAAAAAAGTCAAAAAGGAAATGAAAACTTCACTGCCCCCAAACAACCCTTTACTGCCACACTCGTTCGTATCTATATTGTTTGTGGCTGCTTTTATGCTACAACTGTGAAGTTGAGTTGTGACAGAGGCCCCCATGGCCTGCCTGAAATGTACTGGCTGGTCTTTCACAGAAAACGTTTGCTGATCTCTATTTCAGAGAAAAGTTTAAAGATGTAGAGGGTTGATACATTTAAAATTTGTCTCATGCTGTCTTTTTAAAGAAAAAGCTTTATTGAGATATAATGGACATATAATAAGTTGCCCGTATTTAAAATGTATAACTTGGTAAATCTTGACATGTAAATACTCAAGTGAACATCACTATAGTCAGGATAGCAAGTATCCCTTACCCCCCAGATTTCTGTGCTCCTTTGTAATCCTGTCCCTGCCTGTCTCCCATCATCCCTAGCAAATATAGGTTGGCTTTCTGTCACTATAGATGAGTTTGTTTTATTTGGGGTTTGTTTTATATGAGTGGAATCCTACAGCAAGTACTCTTTCTGTGTCTGGTTTATCTCACGTAGCAACATTGTTTTGAGATTCATCTGTGTTATTGAGTGTATCAGTAGTTCATTCCTCTTCATTGCTGAGTGATATTCCATTGTAAGAATATACCAGAATTTGTTTATTCATGTACTTCTCAAGGGCATTTCTGGTTTTTGTTTTTGTTTTGAAGTACAAATCAACCTTCTATGAACATTTATGTACACCCATTTGCATGGGTATATGCTTTCTTTTCTTTTGGGTAACTACCTAGGAGTGACATGGCTAGATCATATGGCCGGTGTATATTTAACTTCTAAAGAAATTGTCAAATGGTTTCAAAGTGGTTATAGCACTTTACTTTCCCACGCACAGTGGTTTGAGAGTTCTGTTCCTCTGCAGGAGCTAACATTGCTATTAGCCAATAGTATCTGAACTATCGACTTGCATGAAGTATGAGGAAGAGTTTGTAATAATCTGATTAATTTAGACTGTGTAGACAACCAAAAAATTGATTCAGTTTTAAAAATTAACTTTGAGGTCTTAAATGACCCAGATTTACTGACAAAACTGATAGAATAAATGCCATCATTACCACAGAATCCTCTCCACCAGCATGGTTAAGATCTTGACGTTTTATATGGCGGGCAGCAAATGTCACTGTAATTCCCAGTGTTCATAAAGTGTATGACCTACCCCCCCCCCCCACTCCACCCCTATCTGGGACTACATCCTGTCAGATGCTGTAAGATTCTAGCATGGGTGTGAATCAAAGGGGACCTTATCACAAACACAGATTTCTGGGCCCCATTCCCAGGATTCTGCTGCAGAGGTCTGGGCTGGGACCCAGGAATCTACATTTTAACCCGCACAGGAGTTGAGTCAAGTAAATTGGATACACATTGATATACCCAAGTGTTATAATTTCTGGGACCACTTGTTTGCAGTGTAGTGGTATTAAGCATTATTCAGGCCTGAGCTGCTGGGTTTCAGATGAGGTCTTTGGTTACCAGCCTGGTCAGTGCCAGCCTCATTATGGTTTATTTACTCGTTTTGGCATTTGTGGATTGTTCATGCATTGTAACTGGACAACTGTTACCAGGATCATTTCAACACTACCTCTGCTCTCTGGTCTTTTTTGTAACAATACACCAGAGCCCTGGATAAAATCTGTGGGAGTAAAGTAGTATCTTCATGTGAGGTAAATCCTTTTTTTTTTTTTTTTTTTTTTTTTTTTTTTTTTACCTCCAAGAGTAACTATTTATTGCCTTAAAGAGTTTATGTGCTGAGTTCATTTACTCAAACGGTCTAATCACTAGACCAATATATATTCCAACCAATATAGGGTTGGAATGTTTGTTTCTGTTAATCATACAGTGAAATTTAAACAAAACATTGCTTTTCTCTTTTTCAAATTTACTCTGCCCAGAATTATTTTGGTGGAAAACTCTCTGCTCAAGGGAAAATGCCTTGGATTGAATATAATCATGAGAAAGTTTCTGGCACAGAATTCATAATTGACTTTCTGGAAGAGAAACTTGGAGTGAATTTAAACAAAAACCTTGGCCCTCATGAAAGAGCCATCTCCAGAGCAGTGACCAAGATGGTGGAGGAGCACTTCTACTGGTGAGTCCCCCGGGCGTGCTGGGTGAGAGCCCAGGGCCTGTCCCCAGCCTTTGGAGGAAGCCCAGGTTCTGTTGCACTTCTCAGATACTCCCCAGCCTTTTCAAAGTTCTCTACATTCTGACTGACTTGGGGTCAAAGCTGTGACCATTAAGTGTCTAGGTCTCTAGACCAGGGGTAGACATTTTCTGTAGAGGCCCAGCTAGCACCTCTTTTAGGCTGAGCAGGCCGTGGCTCTATTGTAGCTGTTTAAACTCTGTCACTGTAATGCAAGTCATGGACGACGTGGAAATGATGAACGTGACTCTGTTTCGCTAAAGCAGTGAAAACACTGACATTTGAAATTTCATTTAATACAAAATGTTATTCTTTTGGACCCCCCCCCCCAACTATTTAAAAACGTAAAATCTTCCTAGCTGGGGTTTGCTGACCCCTGATCTCACTGAGGTGAGGAAGGGATTTCAATGGATTCTGCCCTTTACTACCACAAACTGCTGAATTAAAACAAAGTTACATCAGATACCCAGAGGAGGGAACAGAAGACTAAGTCAGGATAGAAGTCTCAGGTGAAGTAAATTATTCAAGCTTTGTAAAATTATTGCCAGTTTTCCTGAGACGACAAGAGCTTCTCTCGTGTTCCAGAAATAAACTGCAGTACTGCTCTCTGGGTGTCTTTGCCCCGACTGGCTGGCTCCTAGGTTGTCTTCCTTGTCTGTGTTGATGAGTTGTCTGTGTTCTGCATGTGGCATTGTGCTGGCTATGACACGTGAGTGAAATAGATGCGGTTCCTCTTGGTTTACAAAGTCATGGTCATGCGGGTTTTTTTTTTCTTTTCCCTTCATCCATTTTCTGGAGTTTTGTACCTTTCTGTACACTCCAGTGGATAAGAGAAGTTTTCTCTCTGATTTCTGTAAACTTACCTTGTTCCAAAGGTTTAATTAAGAATCATGAAGCCCACTTTTTTTGGGCATTAATTGTTACTCCTGGGTCACTTGCTCATGCAGTAGTTTTTACGTCCTCCACTGAGAGAGACACTCAGTGTGGAGCTGATTAGAGAAGTTCTTCCCCATTACCTTCCTATTTCATCAATTCAGCTCTCCTTCTAAATGGAAACTTGCTGTCCCCTGTCTTGGATTTTAAGTGACTCTCTACTTCTCTTTTCCTCTTTCTGCTTGCAGTTCCTGCCCGGTTGATTCCAGGGCAGACCCGAAACAACCACTTCTCTTCCTCCTCTCCTGTGGAGGTGAAAGGGGTGGGAGCAAGGGGGAACCAGGCAGAGAGTGGAGGCAGGGGTGCCGATTAGCATGGAAGTCATCATAGACTCCTCTCCCGGAATGAACCCAGGTGTTTTCCTTTTGAAACCTGTGAAGAACCGTTGGACTTCCCCTCTTGAAGAGTGCAGGGGTTGCAGGATGGGCCAAATGGATGACTGCATGCGATGTGCTTAGCCTCAGGGAAAAGCCTGTGGCACAGAGCCCGTGTCACTTGCTTGCCAGGTTCTGGTCCCCACTTTGCAGCAGTTGAGGGAAATGAAGAAACAGCACAGGGCCACCCTGACCCTCTGTGCCCTCTTTTGATGCAGCCCCCAGAGCATCTTATTTGATTGACGTCCCATTAATGCGGAGAGCTGTCGCTTTGTGAGCTGCCTGAAAAGAGGCTGAAAGTCACCTTACATTTTTATTGGTACTTTTTGCTACAACCGTTTGATTTTTGTAGTGGTTCATAAAGTGTATATTCCAGTTAGAAAGGCTTTGATCCAGCGCGATTCCCAAGTACCACCTGTCACTGCTTTTTGCTCTGGGTGTGCAGATGTTTTATATGTTTGCTCCCCGGTAGAAGTTCACCTTCTGCTCTTCCCTCCCCTTCTCTCCCTGCACAGGCGCCAGCTAATACTTGACGGGAGGCAGCTCTCGGTAGGGGAGGGTTGGGTGTGGGCTGGGAGGTGGTACCCTGGTGGGACGAATCTGAATTTTATGGACCATAAATACCCAAGTGCTTGGGGAGTTGCTTAGGTCATACGTAGACTCTTCTAAGGATACTTTTGCTTTTTCTAATCCACTCTTTAATTACAGTGTATGTTTTTTTTGGGGGGTGGGGAGGAGGTTAGCTACTATTTCTCCTGTGTGCCTCCTCAAAGGTTAATTTGAGGAAGAAATAGTGAAGGTGGAAGGTCAGGTCTTGACTGAGATACAAATATCCAGTGAACTTGCAAAGACAAATGCCTAATTCCTTCAATCCCCTTTGGTCCCTAGCAGCAGAAGGAAAAACAAGCCTTCCTCTGTTTCATAAGGTCTCTTAACCTTTAGCCATGTTCTCGCCTTGAGGAGACCTCGAATGGGCTTTCCCGTGAGCTCTAAATCCCAATGGAGAAGAGACCCCTGTCGCTCCGGTAAGAACATGCCTGAGGCAGAGAGTCTGTGGACATTCTTCCTCAGGCTCCTCTCCTTCCCCTGTCTTGTCTGAGGGCCACACACAAGATGCGCACCCGTAGAAACCAGGGCCGGCCTAAGGAATGGCCCATAGTATGTAGGACAATACTGCAAGTATGAGCTTTTCATGAGAACTTGATAAATCCTGACACTCAGCAAGCTCCAAGGCTGTGTCTGTATTTACAGCGGTGGAGGGGAGGAAATCAATTGTTTGACCCAATTGATTCAAACTATCTGAAGTTTTCAGATACGTTTATTTTGGTCTGAAACTATAAAAGTACTCCAGGTATGATGTTCTGAAAAGCAAAGACAAGGGCAAGCTGGCATTGTTATGTAAATACCATCACATAATTCCGAGGCTCTGCTTCAGCGTTGCTCAAGTAAGCACACTCTGCTATAAAAGTGGGCTTTCTTGCACTTGAAATCCATACAAGCATGTCCAACTTGCATTATAAAACTATTACTGGACATGAAGAAGACAGGTTTTTATCCTCTTCCTTCCACTGGATGCTTACGTTAGATCCAACGCAAGGAAGTTGGTATAAAGGGAAGCATGAGAGACACGTGGTCAAATCAGTGGAATGGCATTGAGTTTTGGTAACAGACACTGCAGCTGCTTTTGTATGAGACACTAGTGTGTTAAGAGTCTTCCAGACCCACAGGGAAGTGTGCAGGGCACTGTGGTCAAGCAATCTAGTCATCCCACTTTGACCCATTAAAATAGAGGCATTAGAACAGGGATTTCAGTTTTTCTTCTAGGTTGGCCATGATTTTTAAATTCTGAGTTTGGCTTTTGGTATAGTTTCACTGATTGGGGGAGGTAGGATCCTTATGAAAATGACTTACCCAAGATCTTGTCTAAAAGCCAGGAGTCTCTCTCTCTCTGATTACAACTGGGTTGATGTGTCCCCCTCTTCCCTGTTCCCCTTACCCCCATTTTAGATGTAGCGAGAGGTCCTGTTTGGAGGGGCTTAGAGTCTAGTGCCTATGCAACGCGGTGAAACCACAGAAGCCGGTCGTATGCTCCTGCACCCTCATGCATGCAGAAGACAAGCAAAAGATGACAGGGATGTAGCAGGACATGGAGAAAGGCATCCTCATGGTCAGGAAGGGCACATGCAAAGACTCGTCAAACGGTAGTTTGCCATGGTGTGTAGTTTCCCACAGGTTAATATCGTTTCTGCCATGGGCAAGGCCTCATGTTAGGTTATAACGAGAGATATCTTCGTGGAAACAGCAGGGTCAGTTCTTTCCTGGCCTCTTGAGCTCCTTTAAAAAGTGTTGAACAGTGTTTATTCTTCTGTTCCAACTAAGCTAATCAATCTTCAAAAGAAACCTTGACCCCATTTTGCAGAAGAGATCAGATATATCAGTTGCGATAAAGAAAATGAGTATCAACTTCCTGAAAGAGGTTCTCAGAATGATGAATTATTTTAATTGTTCAGCCTAGTCTAGTTTCCACATTGGCCCTCCCTGCCCTCTCCAGTTAATGATTCATGAATCCTTGTGCAGTGGGCTTCTTCCCAGTAGAGAGTGACGCAGACCTCAGAAGGGAACATGTCAGCCCCTTCTTCATTCTTCAAAGGCATTTCTCTTTTTCCATCTTTCTGTTTAAATATTGTCACCCCATAGAAACACTACTTGGCAGTAGCTGGCTCAGAAGTGAAGCTTTTTTACATTTCAATCAATAGTTCATTCTTTCAGTAAACTTAATGAATGACTACTTGTGGCCGGGCTCCATGCTGGAGGGGGTGGTGGGGAAGCAAGGTGATCAGATGCTATCTCTGTCCTCAGGTGACTCTTAGGCTGGGGGAGACGTTGAGCCATCCTAATGGTTGGTGCTGGGGTAGAGTTTGAAGAACTGAGGAAAGGCAGCCAGCACCTGCTGGAGTGATGAGGCGAAGGCTTCCCAGAGGACACGGTGTCACAACAGAAGCTAGGGACAGTCAGAGTGGTGGGTGAAGGGGCTGGGTGGCAGGGGAAGATTAGGATATCCAGGCAGAGTAGCAGCATCCGCAACAGGATGAGGCCAGAGAATGGCCAGACCAGGCCTGGGTCAGACTGTGGGAGCAGGGCTGGTATGCAAGCTCAGGAATGGGGAGTTCATGAAGGACTCTGAGAAGCAGCCTGATATGACTAGATTTGTGTTTTAGGAGCTCACTGTGGCTGCCTTGGGGCAATTGGGTTTCTGAAGGGCCTTGAAGGGATGTCAGGAGACCTGTGCTGAATGATGTGCTAATTGAGTTGGAGAAAAGGGCAAATTCACAGGGGGGACTGGCTGTCAGGAGTGAGGGACAGAGAGCAGTGAGGAACAACACCTGGGATTCTTTCAGGTTTGGGCGAGGAGAAGCAGATTTGAAGGGAAGGAAGCTGATGAGTCTGATTTTGGAAATGTGGGTTTGCAGCTCCTGAGGACACCTCACATGGATCCCTGGGTGTCAGGACAAAGGTCTGGGCTGGGTATGGGTTTGGGAGTCATCAGTTTGAAATCGGGGTGTGAATTAGATCACCCCACAAGTGTGGAGTAAGAGGTAGGAGGAATAGCGATGAAAATCTCAGGAATATGCACGAGGGGGCAGGAAACGCAGTAGAGACCGACGTAAGCTGAGGGAGGGCTCTTCTATGAAAGACACCGATAGTGCCAGATGTTGCAGAAAGCTCAAGAAAGATAAATATAGAAAGAGTCTTTATTTGGATTTTGCAAGAAGGAGGTATCGTTGATTTGGAGGAGAGTGGTTTCCGTCAAGTGTCAATAGTTTGCCAGAAGCTTGGTTATGGGAGGAGGTGGATTCTTGGTTGTAATGACATGGAAGCATGTGTAAATGAGGTCTGTTGCCTGCAGTGATTGATTCAGGAATCCGTGAGTTACCCATTTTCTTTGGTATTCAAAGTTTGTACCCACTGCACAGGGGTTGACCCTTATAGAGCCTGCCTGGCCCTCTGCTTCTCTTCCCTGACACTAGCCTACAGTATTGGGCACAGGAAGTGAATGAGGAAAGAAACCAAGAGCAGGGTGGGAAAGAGAACAGAGGAAGACCAGTTTCTCAGGTTACCTCTAGCTATAGACTTCCAGATCAACCCATTGTTCCTTTTACTGTGCCCTGCATTCAACACGCTAAGGCAGGAAGAGAACCTTACACCATTGCATTGGTAGGGTTTCCTACCAGCTTAGCTGTGTGACCTAGAACGGCTGCCTCTTCCAACCCCATCTGCTACTCGAACCCAGTAGTCATCCAAAGCTCTCTCTCCATCGCTGCATCCTCATCCTGTGCCCATGCCCCCATTTTCTGCTCTATGGAGGAAAGTGAAGTCACTAGGCAGGAACTCTGAACCTCTCTGCAGCCCCTCACGTCTTGCGACACTTCCCTTCTCTCCATCTCCAAGAAAGCAGTGTCTCTACTTCTCACCAAGCTGGCGTTTTTCCAGCCTGGCGTTTTCACCTTCTGTCTTGGTCCTTGAACTGTGGATGCCCTATTACCACTCCTTACCCTAGAAACTTCCTTAGGTGACCCATTTTCCTCTGACGGCTTTAGAACTCTCACTGATACGCCCTCACCCACAAATTCTCTATCTTGAATCCTAACCTGTCTCCTGAGTTCTCAACCTCTGGATATTCTCACTTGGGGGTTCCATGGGACCTTCAAATGCAACAGCTTAATGCATCTTTCATCACCTAAATCTGTACCTGATGCGTGCCCGCCTATAAAGGTTAATGGCATTATCATCGTCTCAAACCATCAGCCTGAGAGAAAATACCTAATCTCTCCTTTTACCTAATCCATTGGTCAACAGACTCTTTTTCTCATATCTCAGGGTTTCTCCTCTGCATTCCCTGTACACCCCGCACACCCGCCCACCACCCCTGCCATTGGTCTAGTTCTTGGGTCTTGCCATAGTCTTCTAAGCAGCCTTCCTACCGGTGGTTTCTCCACTTCCATCGACACACCGATTACATTTCTTATCTGCTTAAAATTTTCGGTGGATAAACTTTGCTTCCAAAATAAAGTTCAGCACCCTTTGTCTCAGGCCTGTCCGTATCTGGTCCTGGCCCACCCTTCCAGCCTCTACTCTTACAGGCTTCCCCAGGCCTCCTGTATCCCCTGGCCAGTGCTCTTCACACACACTCCTTCTCTCCCTCTCCCTCTGCTCTGCCTGGTGAGCTTCTGCTCATCCTTCAGGACCAGTTATGCTTATCATAAAACCTGTGTAATTTGTCTACAAAGAAGGTACTTTTTTTTTTTTTTTCCAGATCAACCCGTCAGTGTAGAGCCACCATATTCCTCATTTTTACTCTTTAGATGCTTCCTGGATGCTATTACCTGGTCACACTTTTTGGGATAATTTACTTTTATTCTCAGATCATGGACTTGCAAAATAATCAAGGATGCCATAGCCCTTTTATTGCATTTCAATCTAGTACAATTAGAATCACAGTGCTGAGTTATTCTAATGGAATGTGAGAATGTATACCTTAATAACTGCAGGTGTAAAAAGAACAAATAGGAAAGCATTTAGTTTTCATGTTTTATAAAGAGTGTACTAGAGTAAATGTGAGATTCTTTTATGTCAAAGGATCCATTGACTGCTCTGACTGTACATATTTGTTACTTACCATTGCAATGTACTTTTTCCTGTTTTCAGCAAAATCCATTCCCTGACTCAATACTTTATTTTGAGAAATTTACCAAAAGAAGTACCCAAAGCTTTCTAACAAGAAGTACCCAAAGCTTTCTAACAAGATTTCTAAGCACTTTTAAAAAGGTACTAAAGAAGAGTTACGGTTATAGTACAAAGCGTATGTTGAAATTGGCTGTAGAACTTTTCCAGTAAAAATCAGGAATGCTTAAAGTTTTTTACAGAAATCTTCTGTTTCTTCCTTTTGTAGAGAAAAGAAGATGGGAAAGAATAGAATTATATAAAATGATCAACATTTCAGGGACTCTGTTTTTCTTTTAAAAAG